CCATTTCTATGATAACAGGTAACAGCAAAGAGTCAGTGACCACCAGAGGGAGACGTTAAAGTTGCAGAGGACCTGTCCCACAGTATTAGGTGTTTATGTGGCTAGTAATGTTATAAGTATACTTCAGTTTATACGAATTCAAATTTAATGTTATTATGAGACCTTACTGTCTCATCTTCAACTCTTTTAACTTGAGAGAAACATTCATCCAGTTTATTTACTCTATATTTAAACAATAGACAGAGCAAAGGTCTGTTATTTAGGACTCATAATGTTGATTAGTAGATAAGTTAAAAAGTTAGCCTGGAATTCTACATATTTGAATAAATTATCATAATATGGAAGACAAAATAGTGTTTCAGAAATTGGATCTGGTATGGACTAGGGATGTCATGTTATCCATCTACTATCTGGTAACAGATTACTGAAGAATAAAAGTGTTCTCAATAGGTTGTAATGAGAAGGATCCGTAAGAATCCGTTTTTATATCGATTTACTATAATCTACATGCTGCAATGGTTGCATGGATGGTATGAATTGAACTTTTACTTCAATAGTCCCCCCTCACACACACACACCTTACAGTCGGGATAGGTGTCCAATATTGGCTATAGCATGTCTTCTAATCTACGAGTTTTTATGAACATTTATCTACATTCTAATAAATCAGTGTTGTTGTTTGTGTATGAATGCTTACCCATTACTTGTTGATTACTGGAACATAACTTTGTATTCGCTATAACTCAATTACTGGTATCAAATTTCGCAGCTTTCAAATGTGTAACGCCCCTTGATTTTTCTGTTTTTTCACTTCCTCTTCTGAAATGGTTTTTATGTCACATCCTCATCAGATGACTATATAACGTTTTGTTTCACTGAGTCGTATTTAGAACATTGTTAGAATCTACGAGGATTTGAGAGGAGTTCTTTTTTACAGTAACCTAATAATTTTCCAAAAATGTCCTTTTACACCAACTTTTGGTTTTGTTTGACAGCCACTTTACTATCAGGTAAATCTTTTAAAGGGATAAATAATTTTATTAATACTATTTATCCGGTAGAATTAGAAATTGAAAATACTTCATTTGTAATGCAGAGGCAAATTATTTAGGTCTTAAAATTAAAATAATTCATAATGATATCAATCTAAATGTTTTTGATGAGATAAAATATTTTTCTTTTCCAATATACTAACTTACCCTCTTTTAATAGTAATGTTTTAATACTCTTCTGTTATAAAGTATTATAACTTCGCAAATATTCAGGTTTTGTAAAATCTGTAATAAATTACAATATTTCATTATTAATGTTGAAATATTAATGCAGAAACTAATATTCAATGAATTTAATAAAGAAACTCTGAATAAAATTATCAAAATATTCCGTGATAAATATAAGAACATATTAAATAAATATAAAGAAGTAAACCTTAAGTAGATTTTGCTGATAGTTTCAGATAAGTATTTTTAGTTTTAATAAGGTCATTTAAACATCTTGGCACTACTTTTATGTGGATGAACAACTTATCGTATATAAAGGCTTGTGTAGAGTCTGAAAATTGGTAGTTACAGTGGACTTAATGGGTGGTTGTTGGGATTTTATACTAGTATAATTTGTCTACTGTGCTAGTAATTAATGCTTTAATACTACAATGGGAGCTGGTAATGCCAACCTAAGGAGGTCAGTTTACCCTACTTGCCCCCTAGTGGTAGTACCTTATTTCATTTTTCTTTCTTTCTTTTTTTATTTATTTTATTTCACTTTGGAAAACAGTCACCTTCCCACAACTATCTGCAGGCAGTGAATGATAGTATAGATGTGGGACGTTGTGGGCTATTGCACCCACATCTCGCTCTCCTAATTTCTCCTGATTATATCACACTTGTCATTTAATCAACACTGATGTTGATATAAATCAGTGAACAGAAAGTGTGATACTTTCACTTATATATGTAGGTTTACATGAAGTGTTGTAGATATAACCAATGTTGTTTGTTGATATAATGGAAATGAACGATAAAAAAGCGCAAGTTATTGAAGAGAAAACAGTATAACAATGTTTCATGACTCACTTAATTAAAAAAAAAGAAATTATGATTTATTTATTTGAGAATTACGACTAATATCGTTATTAGTGCACTACAAGAACAAGATAAGAAACACCTAAATACTTTTCTCAGTTTAATCATTTCTAAATGCTCCGTTTCTTAAAATAAGTATATAACAGTGCCTAAGTAATGACGTCCAAATCTGGTAGACAAAACAGGTGTAGAGTAGAAGTGGCCTAGTAGTTAACGTCGCCGGTTTGTGAATCCGAAGATTCATGGTTTTCAACCTGTTGCTGTAAAAACACGTTATGTCCACTTTGAGGACATGGATGTACTATAAAAGAGACGTTCAAATATTTCAACTTTTTTTCTGTCCCAGTTTGTCTTCGTTGTGGATCCTGATGTTCAAGATGTTAGTTGAACAACATAGTTGTTGTTAGTTCTTACAACAGCTATACTGTCTGAGTATTTATACTATGGTCATTATTTCACCTTGGCCATTTCGATGCTGTGGTAGTTTTCCCAAATGATTTTCTAAGTGGTCTTACTGAAAAACCTGTAATGGATTGTTAATAGTGATGTGCTTAAAGCCACAACGTAGTTTCATTTTGTGACTCGATCTCATATCACTCAAGTGAGAGATGAAACTGGCCACGCCCATTCTCAGATTCACACTTCGGGCACGGTAACGATAGAGCCACGCTCATCCTTGGTTTTACCTTTTAAAGTCACTGTTCCAGTTTATTTGAAAATTGGCTGGATTTACGCATGTCACTATATTGTTTATATAAAAATATTGATACAATACGTAACATTAATTATACCAATTATTTTTGCGCTTTTTTATTGCTGGAAGGTCAGTTCAGTTATTGGTGTAAATTTATGTATCGTAAACCCCTGTTTATCCTCCTGTTAACCTACTAGTTTGTTTTATTGTAATGCATATATTGTAACACGTTACAAACAACAACAACCTTTTAATAGCTTCTTGCGAATTCGAATCCTGGAAGATACTGTTTAGGTAGCATTGAAAACAATAGAAACTTATCTTAGTGTTATTGTTCTAGAAGTGTTTAGTGTTCGTGTTGAGTGAACATCCAGAGATGGTTTGGTATTATTAATACATGTGCAAGACTATGATGATTTTAATAAAACTGAATAACCAAAAAACAAAATTCATACGTTTACGAAAGAAGAAATGTAATAATATTTTGACAAAGTTTAAACTTTTTAACAAAAGATAAAATCTGTCTGAAAGATTAACTAGAGTTTGGGTAGAAATATAGCAAACATAAGGAACTAAACCAAATCATTGTTTTACACAAACAATACCAAAAACATTATCAACGTTAATGTTGCCCACGTACTCTTACAATATCTTCAATTTGAAAGGAAATTCGAGGTTTTCAAAACAATGAGATTCCTGCATGAATGTCCCAATTAAACCTCTGTAAACATCTCTGACGTCATGGCTACAAGTGGAGAACACAGTGTCTACGCATCCAAAAGCGTCTTCAGCTATTCTGTAAAAAGAAAATGAACATGATTGTATATTTGTTTGTTGTTAAGCACAAAGCTACACACAGTGTATCTGTTCTGTGACCAGTACGGGTATAGAAACCCGGGTTTTAGCGATATGAGTCTTCAGACTTACGGATGAGCCACTATGGGGCAAATTAACACGAATCGCTTGTTAATTAAACCACTAATTATAACGTGCACACGTCAAAACATTAAATAGATGGAAAACATGAACTCCAATTTTTATGGCATAAGTATTAATTTTGTTTTTGTTTTTTTGTAATTACGCACATGGCTACACAATGGACTATCTGTGCTCTGCCCACCACGGGTATCTAAACCCGAATTCTAGCGAAGAAATACCGCTGTTCCAGTGGGGGGGGGGAATTAATTAATAGAATACTAAAACATAATATTTCAAAAGATGTTTTATTTGTTTGTTGTTAAGCACAAACTACAAAATTGTCTGTCTGTGCTCAGCCCACAGAGGGTATCGAAACTCGATTTGTAGACTTATAAGCCGTTATACTTAGAATAACTTATATTTTGATGGTTACTCTATCTATATAATAGATATCACTTTACATTAAGAAGGTTGATCTGTTAAATTAAGTATTTTATCATAGTTCACGAATCACGTCACAACAGACAAACAGGATATCCATCCAAGAAATAAAACATTTTTATATTGTCACTATATCATGTTTTATACATCTATTTCTATATGAAAGAATAGAAGTTAATGTTATTAAAATCAACACTAGAAGATATTTTGTTTTACCAGTTACTGTGAACACCTGTATCTTGGTCAGTTTAAACTAAATCGTTGTTACAATACATTCATTGTGATCTACACGAGTTCAAACCTACCTACAATCAAACTCCATTTGGAATATATCCTCAATATATGTTGCAAAGGTTGACATTTTATAAGTACATTTAGAATCATCTTTTTTGGTACTCTCATGACAGTTTGTTCCATTTCCATCCACAAATTCTGTTGGAAAATTAAAGAACTGTTTATTGACACATAAAACTCAACTAACGAATATTTAAGTTGAAAATCAATATTTCAATGCTGTACGGTTTACTTATGATAATTGAACTTAAAGTCAACATTGATAATTTTTATATCTTCACATCTGATGTTTTTAATAGCCTAAAAGAGTTATATTTGCTATTGTTGTTCACGTGTCTCGTGCATATAAATATAGAATACATTCTAATTACTTAGTCTATCATTTCATTGTTTTCTTCCTTTGTTTCAGATTTTGTACAGAACTTTACAAATCTCTACATATCCGTCTTTAATTTTTAACTAATAAACAAGAGTGAACGCAGCTAGCTAATAATAACAACTACTATTGACTGACCCAATATTGTAGTATATGATCGTTTCTTTTATAGTACATCCATGTCCTCAAAGTGCGTAGCGTGTTTTTACAGCAACAGGTTGAGAACCATGAATCTTCGGATTTACAACTCGGCCACGTTAACTACTAGGCCACTTCTATCCTACACCTGTTTTGTCTACCAGATTTAGACGTCATTACTTAGGTACTGTTATATAGTTATTTAAAAACAGAGCATTTAGAAATGATTAAAATGAGAAAAGTATTTCGGTGTTTCTTATCTTGTTCTTGTAATGCAATAATAACGATATTAGTCATGAAGCGGAAATAAAAGTAAGGTTGTTTTTTTTTTATAAGCGAGTCATTAGACTGTTCTTTTTTCTATTTTTAATTATGTGAGTCATGAAACATTGTTATACTGTTTTTTCTTCAATAACTTGCGCTTTTTTATCGTTCATTTCCATTATATCAACAAACAACATTGGTTATATCTACAACACTTCATGTAAACCTACATATATAAGTGAAAGTATCACACTTTGTGTTCAGTAGTTTATATCAACATCAGTGTTGTTTAAATGACAAGTGTGATATAATAAAATATGATAATAATTAGTAGAATTCTTAATTAAGGTTCTTTATCTTTACCTATATTTTTTGTGCATTTTAGCTATTACTTAGTGCGTCACAAATTTTGAGATAAAAATAATCTTGTATTTCTGACGTTCTTATTGTATTTAACTTCAATTATTCAATACGTTCAAAACATACTCACTCGCTAGGTTCAATTGGTTGTTTTCACACAGATAGTTTATTGTTGAATTTAATGATCTTTTCCAAGTGTGAAGAGCTGACTTTTCTTTCCCTGTCAAACATTCGATCGTTTCAAAAACTCTTGTACAGTTTTGGATATGGTTCATTAATCTGATGTAAAAAGGTAAGACATATATTTTGATAACAGAAGAGACATCCATTGTAAGTTATCATCCACTTCTAATCAGAGCGAGCTGTCGACTTAAGTCAGAAGTGAAGGTTATCCTAGTAACGAATATAGTTATTAATATACCATTCTAGCTTTCGATTATAAGAATAATAATTAATAATCACATAATTAATTATAATAATGTATTTTTGAAGAAAATATAGTTAAACAAATAAATATTTTCGTTACTAATTGATTTTAGTTTACATCAGAGTATGATAAGAGTATTTAAAAGTTGTAGAAAACTATGTAGAGTCAAATAGTTGTCTCGTTTAACCAAAAAATGTATGATAGGATATCTCAGATGTGTCCCCGCAGGGATCAAATCACGAATTTTAACGTTACAAGAATAGTTCTTATTGCTGAGTCACTTAGGGCGGCAAGCGTTAATTGATTTTGGAGATTTAAAGTTACATTTCACAATTGATTGACTTTGGTCATTAAAATAATTTGACACTATTAACATTTTGTAACCAAGAGATATGACAGAGTGATTTAATATTTTAATTCTAGGAAACAAGAAGTTAGCAGTGTTTCTAGTTTATATAATTCATATTATTGCACATGTAGGCGTTTGTAAATATCACCTAATATGAAAACATCACACTGACCACTTCCTCACCAGAATAAATACAATCATTCGTTGAAAATCATTTTCAAGTAATTATCTCAAACATATTTATCTCTAAGTTGTTAAACAAAAAACATCCAAGAATAAGTTACCTACTCGCATAACTTGGATGGTTCTGTTCTATACAAGATATCACCTGGAGAAGAGAAGAGCTCATACAGTTCAATATTATTGTAAAGACATCCTTGGAAATCCTGAAACTTATAGAATATCACGATGTCTTCACAATTCTCCAAGTGTTTCATAATGCCGCCATTAGTGACAGGAATATTACCTGAAACAGATAACGTTACCAATATTATTATTCACAAGGAACGTCTGGTCTGTTCCTTTTTGATATTTTAAGCTAACAGATGTTGAGCTTCAGAAATGTTTAATTTATAATAATAATAATAATGTCTAGCCGTTCAAATTTATGAAATAAAACAAGGATTATTTATACTAATAAAATCATCTATATACGTGTAAGTTAAGGCAAAAATGTCCGAGTTTATACAATTTTCAATAAACCTATTCTCATAAAAATAAAGATATAAATGTGTAATATAAGTACAATAGTTAGCTCCCATTGTAACTCCTATTACTTGTTTAAATACCTGGTTATTGCAAAAAACATAATTATTATAAATGCAAAAACTTAATACATCTTTTATATTTTTACAGCTAAAGTTTCTTACTTCCAGTACTATGAAAGGATAACAGAACTATTCTGTTAACGAATTGATAACAGAAATTAAATCTTTCAAAAGAATTGTAGTATACAGTGTGGCAAAATCAAATATTTGATTTTTTTATTTGTTCGCAATTATTTAGGTATTCTAAAATGGGATGATTATTTTTTTATTATCGCAAACGGGGGTTTCTTATTATTAATATTTACATTTTTAATTTTATCAAGTAGAATATTAAGTAATATATTTAATAAAATGGCCGGTTGTTTAATAATTGTTTTTATTGAACTAGAAATAAATCTAAATTTAATTGGAGAGTTATGGAGTTTAGGAATAGCAAACAGAAAAGGTAATTCTACAAATGAATTTGGCTTAGAATAAAGTTTTTTTATAAGCTTTAATGAAATTATTACTTACTGTATCTTTGGATTGTTAATAAGTTTAAATATTTGTGTACTATTGATTTTATTTATCATAATTGATGCATAAAACAGTTTACAAATAAATCCAACATTACAATTAGCTTTATCAATTGAAACTCTCACGTATTTTTCTTGTAATTTTTGAATCTTATTTTTAATGATAAATCTATATGGTATGTCTTTAATTTAATACAGGATAATTTAAATCTTATTCTTTTAAGTACATAAAGCTTCCATTCCAAAAACCATCTAGGTGGTTAAGATGTAATATAGTTAAGTTTCAAAATGTATTCATCAATATTGTTTTCAATGGGTTTTAGAATATTTTGTGGCAATTCTGTATTTAGATCCTTATTTAAGTATTTCACACAGTAGTTCACCTTTTATAAATTCTAAACTACCAGTAATAATGTGTTTATTGTTTGTTTTTCTTTGTTTGTTTGTAATTAAGCACAAAGCTACACAACGAGCTATCGGTGCTCTGCCCACCAAGGGTATCGAAACCCCGATTCTAGCAGACATACCGCAGTGCCACTGGGGGGCAATACGTTTATTAAAATCATCAATAAATAAACTATATTCACACTCACAAGTTAAATTATTTACTTCATCTATATTTAAATTAGTTAAAAACTTTTATAATTGTATAATAGTGAACAGATTGGAACTTCGTATTCATAACTAACTGTAGGCTTTAAGTTTTTACAAGAAAAAAATATTATTTATTATAGATTGATGACTAAATTTAGAAATCTGCAAATCATTAAATACTTTATGTTTAAAATTAATTACAATATATGGATTCTTAACTTGCGATTTCTCATTTTCAAAGCTTGATAAATTTTAATCGATATTTAATAATGTCTAAAAGTAAGTGATTTGCATGATCATTTCGAAAATTAATTA